ATATATATTGGAGACATCTGGTAATAATTGATGAGTTCATCTTTAATTTTTTGTTTTCCAGCCAAGTTTTCCAGAGCTCAGTTTTTTGCCACAGCTGCATCCTTGATATAGGTCAGACCTTGCAATTCACCTTGAGATGTCATGTTACTTTCAATAGTAGATGATCTGTTTCATTTTTAGACAATGCAATGAGTGACAACACATACCAAATCAGCTTCTACTGACTACACTCAGAATCCAGTTTCTGCTGTTAAAATCTGTTCCATATCTACCTTGTACTAGAATACAGGGGCACAACTGTATCCATAGCAGATCATGCGCTGCTTTGGGGACCAGCAGCTTTGGGGCCTCAGCATTGTCTGGCCGCATATGCAGGCAGCAATACAATTTACCAAATACGCTTGAATAGAATGAATGCCTATATACATGTAGTTTGGGAACTTATATTAGAAGGATGAACAATCATTAGAATGAAAACAAATTAGATTCTTTATCAATAGAGGCGCTGCCTCACTTCATGTCTGCTGAAACCAGTCAGTAAGATAGGAAGAGAGGGTAAATCTCTGTAACAGAGACCAGGAATGTTGCCTCAAACAACTAAAAACAACATAACTTTTCCTTGCAGTAGCATTTATTCATTTTCATAATTAAGAACGAGGACTGTTTTGGTCTGACCAGCTTTAAGACTATAATAGGCATCTCCAGTATTCATGGTGACAACTTAAACAGATTTCATTAGCGTGTGCACACCTATCCACTTACCTCACTCCAAACCAGCATCGTCCCAAACACCACTTGTAGACCATCAAAGAAATTGTCCCCAATGATGATGACCATTGCTCCTCCTGTAGTCCAACCTTCACTGGGGCTTATGGCCTTGATGCAAGGTGTGGCTGTAGATATATAAACATATCTCATATCACTCAATGCCCCACTCAGCAATTCTTGCCATGTCCAATATACAGTATAAATATCATCAAGAAAACATATGTCTTGATAGAAATATGCATGTGTATGTATTTATGAATATGAGTTTAGGAGCTTAGAACAGAGTATATGAAGCTATTAATGTAAGGAAGATGATTTTATGAATAAGACTGTCACATTAGAAGAAAAGACAGTTACCCTCTCTTCAACCTGACATAGAACATGACATAGAATCATACCCTCTCAGCAAATGGTACTGTAGTGTGAACTGTTTCAAAAAAAGTGTACGTAAACTCTAGCGAAGAACTTCTCTTTTTTGCTCCTGTTTGGTTTGCAAAATATACCATTGAAAGTGTTTTTTTAATACCTGTAGGCCTGTAAATGAGCTCCTAACTACCTGTATTGAGCTGACACCCAAGAGGTGTTATCAGCCAAGTCTAGTACACCTCTGTGAACCTCAGAACGCCTCCTATCTATTTTATAAAGATGAAGACAAGGGAAGATGTTCTATCGCGCTAAGATGTTCTATCGCACCAGGGTGACCATGTTGCTCTTCCATAGAAGCAGGACAGCGAGCGAGAGTTGCCACCCATGGACAGGAAGAGTATTACTGGCAGGATCACCAAGTGAAAATAAAGGGATAAGGAGCCTGAAAAAAGAAAACTAATACTGTCACCAGAGCTAAGTATTGGTAATCCACAATATATTGCATTTTTGTGCTTAGAAATGATTTGGGTGCATTCACACCAAAATCGGAAGGAAATCGCAAGTCAACGGAGGGTCCGTTGATTTGCAATTGTACCATCCGATTTCCTTCTCATCTGTTGCAATCAATTTTTCAATGGATGCTAACGGAAGGGCACACCGAAAAATGAATGGGTGTAAATGGGGTTAGTTCACACCATTGCGTTATGTTGTGCTGACAAAAAGTAGCGAAAGTAACGTAATGCAAGGGAGCAGTGTGAACTAGCCCCACTCACATCCATTCATTTTTTGGTGCCCTTCCATTAGCAATCATTGAAAAATGTATCAAAATGCAACGGATCCGGTGTGAATGGACGGCTGGGCCCTAATTTAATCTGAATTTGATTTTCGGAGGGCAGTTTGACTGTGCTCATACTTCATCAACTCTGTTTGGCTCTGGCGTGTAGGTCTCCCATGACAAACCAGTTGTATCTGGAGAGCAGTAGTGTGGCCTGACCTTACATTAATTTTCCATAAATTCCTATAAACTATTCCTATTTGATTAGCCATAAATTCCTATAAAGAATGCACTGGGTAAGGTGGCATGGCTAAAACTAATACTAAGTGTAAAAATCACCAATCTTCTGTATTTTCCTCAGCAACTCCATGTCTTGCCCCTTAAGATGAGCTGTCAATTACTGGGAGAATTCACATCTGCACTGGGGTCCATTCCGTGTTTATGTTTGGGAAGTGTAATTTTATATTTCATAACTTCATTCGAAGTTTCCTTCTCACATTCTTTTTAAGGGCGTGTTCTGGCGAAAGTTTTGATTTCATTGCGGAATTGTGGATTATAACCAGGCTTAAAAATACTTAACAGTCTGGCAGATCATGGAAAAAATCATTGTATAAAAGGCCAAAAAACACAGATTTTATAGAGGAGAAAGGCCACTGGTAACAAAAAAATCCACTGTAGCACTTGTATCAGCGTAGCCTTAGTGGAGTCTACACAGGTGACAGGAAGCTTGTTGTATCCCTAAAGACTTATTTTCAAGAGGGTGGAAAACTATTTGTTTTAGGAACAGATAGCAATTGCAGGGACACCTCGGTAGCTTGTAAGAGTGTGCAAGGGAAAAACAAAACCCACCTTCCAAAATGTTATTTACACATAAAACATAAGGTTGTCCCAGCTGTTTAATCCACTAAAGCCCTTTTGAAACTATCCATAATTTGGGTAAAGGCACTTACGTTTTGTTTTTTTCCCCCCATAGGTTATTAAAGGGATTTCCAAGAAAAAATATATATATTGAGCTATTTTACTGGAATCCTCCCATATTGTAAAGTCTACTGGAGGCCCCTAACATATTGTTTTGGTGAACAGGTTAGAAATCCTGTCCCGAACAACCCTAGACTCTAGCTTGTGGCTTACCCTACCATCACTCTCCATTGATAAAAACTCAATGTCAGTATAGCCTGCTACTCTTTAAAAAGTCTGCAATTAGTTTCCTGTCACAATGGTTAGATTGTACATGCATGAGTGACCACCCTCATAAGCCTGTGGGCAGCTTCATTTGGAGGGGTCCCCACTTCCCAAAGCTCTTTTGTAAACAACAAACCCTTATCCCAATGCTGCTTACATTACTATGTGGACTTGGACTTGGTGACATGTAGTAGTCTCCAAACACCAATGTATTTTATGGTCGCTTAGTAGCTGCTGCCAGTGAAAATTAATTTTGGTGTTGTGGTGGGAGGGGAGGGTGTAGCTCAATTTGCTGAAACGAGGGGCCCCCTAACAAGGAATTTATTGCTTTCCTGGGTATCCCCTCTAACAACATTGGAAGTTATACCATAATTAATTAATTATTCAATAAATAATGAATAACGAATCACATCTCCAAACCTTTAAGCCGAACGGTGGCAAGGTTATGGACATCTAAATAGCAAGGTCTACTTAGTCAATTAGGGCCCCCCTCGCTGCACAAAAATGTAAAAAAACAGCCATGGGGGAAAAAGTTATTATACTTAGCTTACCCCCTCTTTCCCCCACTGCACCTAGGCAAGGGTGACATCACCGTCCTTCAGACAAGTTCGGGGAATGACAAGTAGCCACATATCGACAATGCTACCACACTATGCTGAACTAGCATCACCCCTTGATATTTTGGGGTACTCTGCATTGTCTAGGATCTCCTCGGAAGGACATGACAACATTTCCTGCACTATGGAAACCAGCGGAAAGCTAAGTATATTGACTAACCCGATTTTCTCAAATTTTTATGCAGCCAGGTAAAATGGAGGACGAGACCCTCAGTGAATAAGTTGACCTTGCAGGAAGTGATCTCTGTAGCTGCTGACACTGTGAAGCAATTCATCCTCACTTACAATAGAAAGTACTTTCAGTTTAATTTCAGCAGCTCAGTTTATCCTGCTTCCACATCTGAGCATTGATTTGGCAGTCTGCCAGCCTTCTAATCTCTTCTATAAAATTAGAAAAGGTATACAAGAGGGGGAGAGCAGAGTGCGGAGACCTAACTTTTAGGACTTTATTGCTCCTATTTTAAAGTTTGAGGAATAAATTCTCTGCAGTGTCTGTTGCTAGGTCAGTAAGGACATGTTTTTAAGCTTATTTACGTTTTTTTTTTCAGAATATGTACATATTTTAATGTCCATGGCATGACCACAGTGCTACTTTCAACTAAGGTATGGAATTCTGGGACCTCCAAATATTATTTCTGTGCTTGATGAGGCCTCCTTGTTCACACAAACATTTGTGAAGACTCCACAGGTGATGGCCCTTTGTCTAAATGTGCCATGAGTCGAATGATGATGTTATCACTCTTCAAATGCATTGGCAGACTAGCCATTTGTAGATATGAATTGTTAGGTCAAATAATTGGGTGTTATAAAAGAGTCTTTGTAAAAAAATAAAGATAATCATTTTAACGATTATATTAACATCCATAACAGACATGACATTTTGTTTCCAAAACAAATGCATGGAACATTTAGAATTATTCAAAAAGAAAAAAAATCAAATTGCAAAGGACATTAACCCAATCAATTTTTATATTTCACTGATCTGATTGTATTAAATTTAATTGTGGATGGTTGCTATGGACTACTGCATTTTGTAAGTGTTGCTCATTGTATGGCCTAACTAAAGAAACCCAACCTACTCAGCATGATCCTCAGCAGGGCTACACATCCCCTGCTGAGATTTCCAGCAGGTACGGAAAGAGTCATATTTGGGTAGATATTATCTGCATCACTTATTTTTTTTGTTTTTATGGCTTCTTCCCCTTCCATATGGATAGGCCTCACAACTCCAAGTTCCATCAGGAGCCATAACCAGGCTCAATCTATCACTCGGTTTCCACCACTGACAGGGTCAAAGGTGCCTCAGATCTCTGGCGAGCTTCCAGAAACGAGCAGCTAGTCAATCAAGTCCAATCAGTTTAACCAAAGCTGGACTCCATTCTAGCAAAGCACACTGGGATTTATTTCCACCGTTTGACCGCCCGCTGGGGGAAAATTAACACCACACTAAATTCCTTACTGATTCAATCATTCTCTTCTAGTTCATTAATTCCTCACATGGGTAACGCAGGACATGTAGAGAGAGAGAGCAACAGGAGCAGCTATAGAGAGATAATATTAGGAATAATATTTCAGGATTTCTAATATTTTCTCTAACTGGAAAAGCTAAGGATGTTGCAGCGCTGTAGTTCTATTTTTAAAGTCTCTAGGGGTCCTATTTTAGGGTCAGCACTATATCACTTAATGGAATATATTATAAGTAAATATAGGACAAAGTC